CCCATACATTCCCTTGTAAAGTAAGACCATATTCAAACGCTTATATTTTTGCTAAAAAATCGCAGTTTGACTTCAAACTTTGCATAATTGTTGGGAATTATATGCTGTTTTTGGCCATGAACATGAAAAATTCATTTAGATCTTAAAACACAGCCTTTTGTAGTTATTTCTTGACCTGTCTAAAACGCATTGAGCCGTGATAATCCCATACATTCTTAGCAATTTTCGTTTGCTCGTATTTCTGTTAAAAAGCATTATTTTGGCTCAAAATTTCGCAATAATACTTTCATTTAGATGTTCTATCGAGGACAATAATAATATTTCGCTAATTTGGTCTCTAAATAGCATTTTTAGAATAACATTATGAGCTTGGGCTACCTGTGGACAATTTGTGACTGATAAGCGACGAAGAAAAAGAAAAAAAAAAATAATAATAATAATAAGAAGCCCGAAATTTAAACTCTGGGTTCCACAGGAACCCCGAGTAACAAATTAACCATTATATCATCTCAAATTCTTATCATGGAAAAAGTTTTCGTAATCCGCTTTGCGTACGGCGATTCTGTACTCTTTATTGAGTCACGTTTCCCTTTGTCTTTTTTGTGTACCACAATTTATTACACGCTGTAACTATCACACATTTGTCTCACGGCTTTATGGTAACCATTCGATCGTTTTGATAAATTATATTTTATTTTCCTTAAACGTTGTTTCGTCAGGGTCAGTACTTCGTTGTATAATTTGTTTTTATTAATAGTACAGGTGGATCCTTGGTGTAGACGCGTGCCATTGGCAGATATGACAAAAATAAAATCTCAAAAAGTTCAAGATAATTTTTTTGATGTGGTCTTTTGATTCTTGAACGTTTTAAATCCAAAATCAAATCGGTGTCTATTCAAATATAAATCTTTTGATGTAGAGGTAGCAACTGAGAACTTTGGTTAAGCGGCAAATTTTCGTTCAATATTTTGAATGCATGTAAATAGTCAACAACTGTGACATTTAAGTAGTTAAGTATCTCCAAATGAATGAAATTTCGATAAAATTGCCGTTAGACCTCACCAAACATCATGAATGAACAATTCTAGTATGTATAGCTGACATAGTTTAGACAATTACATTTGTCATGTCATGCGCTGTTTGGAAGCAGGCCTTTTTTATATATAAATCAGTGAAAAGTGACTTCTCATATATACTGTGTTTTTCAAGTAGCTGAGTAAATGGAAAATTAGACTGGCTGTAACGACAACATCAAAAAAAAAATAATAATAAAAAAAAAAAAAATACAGGCAACGTAACTAGTTCTTCCATGTGCTCCCCTTTCTAATCTTAACAGTGCGGGGAGATAATAGACAGGCTGAACGTCTCATTTATAGTAAGGGTATAGATTTAAAAAATTTTCGAAAATTCCGAGTATTTTGACACTTACCAGAATGACACGGTTTAGGAGTTACACTGCCAGCAAAACCAAGTATTAATATTGCTGCTAATAAAGTAATCATCATTTTTCCAATCATGAATTTACAAATTTCATGTTTATATAGTTTCATTTTAGCTGCTGAGCCCTCTCAACTAAGTGGTAGCGGTCAGAGGTCGGTCATCAAAATAGATATACATATATGCATGTAGGTTGAAACTATATTGTATGGGGTTCCGGGACTGATCGCAACATTATACATAATTTTAATAATCTAGCTTGTAAAGACCTAATCTCATTAAAGTCAAAATTTAGCTGGAGTTGGAAAACGATGGATTGTGAATAATGCGGCTCAAGGGGAGGGCAGCGTGCGTCATATTGTCTACATACTCGATATCGGATTCTTGAAATAAGCATCGAAATTGACCACAATTAATCACATTTTAAATTTCCAATGCGGTTTCAATGTGTGCCTATATGACCATTTCCGCACACAAAATCGGCCATGGTGCGGGCCGGTTTTGCCGTGAGAGCCAAGACGTAAAGATCACCATTGCGATAAAAAGTAATAAAATCGGGGTAAAAAACTAATAAAATTTACAAAAAACTGATTCCAAACGCAAAAAGCATTTCATTTATTTTCATTAATAATATGCTACAAAAGGTAATAAAAATCAACTTATACAATCTGTTTCTACATATATCAAGTCTATCAAAGAGACTGACATTGACGAAGTTATTGTAAATTTAAAAGTTGAGATCTTGAATGAAATCTAAAAAGATCAATAGATTTAAGTTAAAATGAACCMAAAATATTCATTTGTCTTGATTAATCTTTTTATGGCTCTTGTCCAGTTCCGAARATTCGTCGACATCGGGAGTGATTGGATAATAGGTAAAAGGAACATCTCTGTTGGATTTGATTGATTCAGCTTCTCCTTCTCCTCTCAAGTAAACTTTACCGTTCTCCACTGCCGTAGTAATTTCATTGTGTTCGGGAAGAACTTTTTCGTCTAAAACACATCATAGCGAATCAGTGGAGCAAATCATGCAAATAATTCACAATATAAATTGAATAAATACTTTACATTTCACATCTTCCCACGTGGTCGGCCGCGTGGCCCAATGGATAAGGCATCTGACTACGAATCAGGGGATTCCAGGTTCGAGTCCTGGCGTGGTCGTAACGCAATACTTTTTTTTCTTCGTTTTTTTTTTTAATATCGTTCTATTTTTTCGTTCTATTTTTGTTATTTTTGTTTTGCTAAGTTAAGGCACCGCTTATAGCATTTTTTTTAAATGACCCCCAGAAATAGATGATATAGGAAAGTCCATATGCGACTCGAGCTATTATTAGCATAGCATAGCAATATTTTAAATTTACCGTAATTAAGTTCACTAAGYTCAAGTTTTTGATTTTCTGAGGGATACATTTTGGCCTCCACAAACTTCTTAGTGTCTTTTTCCAATTTGTCTAGCATGGTGGCGATATCATGTGTACCATCAAGATTG